CATGTCATAGCTGAACAATTATGCGTACAAGAAAACTCAATGAAGTAGTCCAGCTGTTCTCGATTGATATTATCATTTTATAACTAATAGATATTGGTATTTTACCAACCACATGTTTTATCAATCAATAAACGATTTGACCCATATTGAAAATTTATTTTAAATTCATCGATCATGTTATTTATGTCAGGTCCTTATAAGAACTAATTGAATTATATCAATCAAGCCGCATTTTGGTCACTAATCCAAGCGAATTGATATCGAATTTACGTGGTGGTTGCAAGTAGTCAACAGAAAACTCTGAAACTAAGTTTCATGACATTCGACCCTCGTCAGCAAGATTTACCTGTAATCTTGAGAGGACTGATTCTCGGTGATGGATTCCATCATGTGTCATCCAGTTTTACAGTTAGGGATTTTCCTTTGGTTCATGAATACAGACTGTTAAAAAATTTCAAAGAAGAACTGATCGTCTATTGCATACTAGCTTTGAGCGGTCATCCAACTCAAATGAATCCGCCGTTAAAAAAGTACTTGAAAACCTGAACTACTTATAATATTTTCAGTAGTTAAAAACCAACTGAGATTTATTTGCTCGTATGTTGTGATCATAATTTGGTAATGCCAAGTCGATCGTGTATTTTGATAGTACGACATTTCAAAAATAACATAAGCACATCGATAATTCTTATCCTGTAAAAGTTAAACGTAACTGTTTTGATGGTAAAAACAAAAGCGTTAAGTTTCACACTGTTTTTTACATTAATTTTCTTTCTTTACCTCGAAATTTTTAATTTTTCATAAATAAATATCCACGACGTATTGTACGAATGCACATCACACAGTTTTGTGAATTTTTGTCTTTTCAAATGACGTGATAGTGAATTGATCAGCTGAAGAAAAACCACTGACTGATATTGCAAGAAACCTATTAATTGATAATCCGTTTAGAATTTATGCTGTCATCTGCATATTATGATTCATTCATTGTATTTTTCATAGAAAGCAGGATATTGTGTTGAAGAAAGACAAATTTTAATATTTTAAAGAGTCTCATTGAAGAAATTAGAACAATAGACATAAGTGAACAATATTGGTTTTTCAATTAGATTGTTTAGTGGTTGAGTGAACATGTTTCAGTATAGTTTGAAAACGACCAGATAAAAACAAAACACAGCTCTATCATGACAGACTTGTTGATCGTGATTAAATCGTAGATAAATCAGAATGATTACGAGTGATCTAACACATACCTACATCATTTTCCAACGGAGTTCGATCTTATTTCCTACATGTACTAGAAGGCATAGCAATTCGAGTATCCAATCCCAATTTATATGTTCAGAAGAAATTCGTGACACTCGTATCCCTTACTTCGCGAGACATAACTTAATAAACGATTTAAACAAAATCTGGTACTTTTTATTTTATTTTTGTTATTTTCACATCCTGTGTTTGTTTGTAATTTGCCGCCTCTCTCCGTTTGTAGTCTTCACTAGCTAATTATTTACACACTTCTTGTTACGTCATAGTTATGATGTTTTTTAATGATTAGTTTAAGTTTATTTATTCACATTTGATCTACTATTTCCAATGTTGATCTATCGATTAAAACATGTTGATGTCGTAATTTAGCATTCTTACTCCTATCAGTACAACTTGTACTTTTACCTTTCATGTGTAGTTACGTAATAGATTTGATTAGGATTATTAACTCAGTGTAAATTGCCTTCATTGGTTTAACATTTTGATATAAATATCCATGTATATAAGAGTATAAAGTCTGATGACAATCTCATTGAAAATAACAATATTTGTTCAGTTATTATCTGTAAAACAAGTTGAATTAAGTGTGAGAAGCGTTAAATAAAATAAAATCGAAGTCAATTACATTTAGGAATACAAGAACATTAAAAAAATTTTTGATAGAACAATGAAAAGACGTAATCGATCTGAAAAATGTGATATATTTGCGCTATATATACATTTCGAACAATCAGGTCACATGCATGTATACTTGTTAAGGCATTTTATATGAAAATTAATAAAAGGTCAATTAAGTCTTCTCATTGTTCTATCAAAATTTATAAAAGGGACTAAGTGTTTAAAACATACAAAACTATCGGAAAACTTATTCAACATGAAATCTACCATTTTTATCAATGCATTGATGATTTGAATAACAACTTTGAATTTTCGAAAGGGAAAGGATTTCAGGATGTACGTTTCTTTCAACTGCTACTAGTCAGTTGACCATACTGGTATTCCAGGGTTATTGTCAACATTGAGATTCAAAATTTGGATCCAGTTGCAGCCAGTTAATGAATCATGAATAGAAGAAAACGTGTATTCTGCACTACATAGTTAATCATAGTGTATTTATGCTGCAAAGTTTATGTTGGTACAGTGATATCAAGGCAATCCATACAAAATGGTATGTAAAGTGAACAAAGATTAGTGAAAATTCAGTGTTGAAAATCAACAACAGGACGATCTAAATCTTAAACTGTAATCAAATAACGTATGCACCTCGTTTTTTAAAAAAAATGATCAGGCAGAATCAATTTATAACCATATAAACTCGGATGCATAAAACCACCATATGTACAAAATATCAACAACATTTAGCTTTGTTTTAAAGAGAAGGAACACAGAAAAACAAGAGTTTTAACATCAAGGTCTTGAAATTCATACGGCAAATTAACGATTTTGTACGATCAATTTTCTTTTCAACGGAATTACCTAATTAAGCTTTACGTTTGTATTAAGAGTAGTTTGATGAATGCGTCGAAGAAAGAAAGACAGACAGACAGATACAACGCAGAACTTCGTACATAAGTATATCAGTTCAGGTTGCCATACCACATCAGCACACAGACGCAACTGTCAGTTCAAATCCAAGAGTGATAGCGATAGAAGTATTAGCATTAATGGAGAAGATTAGGGAGCGAAGATGACTCGAGGAGTATAATTCAGTGAGATAAATTTAGAAGGAGAAAGATAGAGATGATAAGGAATTCAGAAGGTTAGAATTTGAGAGAACACAAAGAGTGCATGCATGCTCGCATGTCAGTCCTGAAGCAACATTTTGCATTTCAACGGGGAAAACCGCATCCCAGACATTCTTGCACTGTTGCATAGGGTAGTCAGAAGACTCTGCATTTTGTCAGCGTCTTCACCATGATGAAAGAAAAACGAGGAGATAACATCATAAAAGTGACACCAGATACCAAATAGTGTCGCACATTGATCAAAAGATAATGAGTATTTGTCGAAACTGCGGTAGTTCGTCGTGAGAAATGACGCTCCAACCAAATTTGTTGATAGAAATTTAACATCAAAACTATAACTGACAGTTCGAAAGAAATCTTTTTTAAAGATTCTGAATGTGAAGGAATTATGACTGCGAAAATCTTGATTAAAAGAATTTCCAAATCTTTGAGGAGGACTTGCTATTGAACAAAGATATGTATTGTCTTCTCAAACCGGTCTACAATTTATGAATATGAACATTGACTACATCGATTTGCATACATGAATTTACTTGGTGATATAATAATGATATATTTGTATGTACATTTTAATCTTAGCCAATTGTAGTATAAATTATACAATTCTTATAACTTCTGCCAGAGATGATCACCTTGAACGGGAAATTCACGACATTGACATTATCAGACCCATTCTGACTGAACTAAATAAAATGGCTTATTCATTTATACTATTTAAGCCGTTTAATTTGATTCGGTTATTTATTACTTCATCTTGAAAAAGTGGTTTCCATTAAACCACAAAATATCAGAAATCCAAAATTCTGGGATATCATAAATGTATCACTAGAAACATGAAAGAACTGGACGACCGTTTTTCAAAGTATAGGTTGGATTCTCACGTCAAGTGGTCATGGATACGCACTGCTGATGAGTCACATACTAGGACGAAACGGCTGTCCAGTGCTTTCAGGTTCTTAATAATGGATCTAACATAAATCGATTCATAATTTCAATGAAACTCAACGATCTCCACAACCCTATAGTGAATAGTAATCATTTGTTATAATGACCTTGACATTTTCCATTGACACTGGATTTTGTTTGAAATATTATTATTTATATTAGATTATATTGAAATAGTGGTGAGTCAATATATATTAGTATGCAATTATATGCACACATTGTTGAAATAATCATATTCTGTTTCTTATTTTTATTTTATTTAAATATAAGATTTCAATTATCTTCATTATTATATTCAATGAACTTTGATGTAAAATAATTTGTTTTTGAGAAATCTCTTATTAACAGTTAAAGAATTCTACCTAATCGTATATACATTAAAATATTTCGATTGTATTTTAATCGGTCAACACATAAATTAGTTTATTTTTTCAGAGTGTAGAAGTAAACACAGTAATTCTGACAAAAACTTAATCGTAGATATGAAAGGCGAAAATTAAAGCGACACAGATATAAGTGAATAAATGTCGTTGTTTTCAATTTCCAGAGGTTAGCTTCTGTTCGTGCGCAAGACCTGGGTTCGAATCCTGCGAGGTGCAGAAGTCGTGGATGCTCAGTGCTGATGAGTCCCATGCCAGGATGAAAAGGCCATTCAGTGATTCCAGGTTTCTAATAGTGTGGTCTAACAATGATTGATTGCTTGATGATTTCAATGAGTAAAAACGTGAATCTCCATAACTCTAATTGAAAGAATTCAATTAGATCGTCATCACGCTTTATACTGTAATATACATAAATATTTATACGAAAATATTAAACCAATATCAAGGTAATTAACTGTGAGGCAATGATCACAATGAAATAGATTACGTCACTACATATAAGTCATACACTTGTGTAAACAGTCAGATAATGAAGAATGTAAACGGAAAGTGGTGAAGAAATGACAAACAAATTTTAAGATGTGAAAATAATACAAATAATAATAAAATAAAATAATTTAAATGGTTACATCTGTCCAAGAGAGAAGGAGACAGGGATGTCACGAATTTCTTCTGAACACAAAAATGGAGTGGATGGTTTCAATTCTGATATAAATTCTACTGAATATAGGAGATGGGATCAAAACCCGTTGGGAAATGATGAGGTCCTACGTTAGATTGCACAAAATGATTTGGTTTGATCTTTAATATGATCACTGTCAATCAGCCGTTTTAAGACAGAGCTGTGTATTGTTTGCGTCTGGCCCTTTCCAAACCATACTGCGAGATGTTTATTCATTCGTTAGTTCACTTGCATGGTAATACGCTCAATATGCCCAATCAGCACAGGAACAGCTGAATTTATGAATGAACATTGAGGAGGCCAATTCAAGTAAACTTATCCTTCATTTGAGTAGACATTGTTAGTCGACTGGAAAACATCAACACAAGATTGGTTATGTAGAATGTCTTACATGTTGACATTTTCATATAAATATTCAAGTATAATAAAGTAGAGCCAAGTGACGATCAAAGCGAAAACAACATTGTTTGTTTATATGTGTTATTTTAAACTGTAGATGACATACAATGAGGGAATAGTTAGGAAAATCGAATAAGAAGATATAATAAAGTAAATTATGAAAATTCTTATCAATTACATGAATCTATCATTGTTAGACCACCATTAGAAACCTGGAAGGACTGGACAGTCGTATCACCCTTCAGATGAGTTCCATAGCAGGACGAAACGGCTGCTCAGTGCTTCAAGGTTTCTACTGGTGCTCTAGCATCAGTTCTGGTTGCCATACCATATTAGCAGAGAGAAATGCAATTGTCAGTTGACATCCCATAGTGGTAGGGATAGTAGAAGTATTAGTGGTTATGGAGAAGATTAGGTTTCGAAGATATTATCCAAGCAGTGTAATTCAGTGAGATGACTTTAGGAAGAGGAAGATAGCGATGGTGAGGATGATGATGGTGAGAAGACGTGACCAGTGTAGATCAACCCTGTCAGGTGTAGGCAGTAACTACCGACACAATGAGTGAGGTTGCGCAAAATCAGAGTTAGACATTACCATCATTGGGTACCGGCACAGTGGTCCAGAGTTTGGGCGTTAGTGCGAAAGACCGAAGATCCTGAGTTTGGATTCTGCGAGTAGCAGGAGTCGCGGATAGGTACTGCTGATGAGCCCCATAGCAGGACGAAACAGCTGGTCAGTGCTCCCAGGTTTCTAATGGTGGTCTAGCAATGACTGACTCATGATTTTAGTAATAAACAACAATCTTCACAACTGTATGAAGAAAATTAACATTTACGTAACATTTTGATATACCCAATTTTTATGCTTGTTTCTTGTGGTAAACTTTTCGAAATTTTGTGAAACATAGTTCTAAATAATTTTTGGTACAAACAATACACTTGGATACATACTTCTAGCTTATATCTGCCCACTAATCTATGAAATTATTTAAAATTGACTTGTTGATTATATATGCACAACAACACCAACATTTAAGTATTATTTAATGCGAAAAGCATAATAATATAATGTGAGAAAATCCGAAGGATGACTTTCATAATTTACATCACAGACTGATTTGTGTTATACAATTATTGGAAACTAGGATGGATTGTCTTAGAATGGGGACTGCCACGGCCCAGCTGGAGATCGGACCCAAAACTATCAAATTACTTGATAACACTCAATGATTTTGAGATGGTGGGGAAAACTTGTAGCTCCAATCGATGACCGTGATGGAGTTTCATTCTCTGAGCTGGATGTTTTGGTTGTGGAGCGGTCAATCCTATGTAGACCAAAGGACAAAATGACAAAAGAAGAATTTGATCAAGTTAGACATTAACACCGTTAGATACCGGCTCAGTGGTCTATCGGTTAGTGCGTTCGCGCACAATACCGAAGGTCCTGGGTTCGAATCCTGCGGGGCGCAGGAGTCGTGGATGCGCACTGCTGAGGAGTCCCATACCAGGACGAAACGGCCGTCCAGTGCTTCCAGGTTTCTAATGGTGGTCTAACATTGATCGGTTCATGGTTTCAAAAAAGAAAAACCAAATATCACCTAGAAAATAAATTGATCAGACTGTGATAAACACTACATAGGACAAAGTGAACGTCCTCTTCAGTTTCATTTGCGTGGCCACTTAGCAGTCAAACGCCACGACACTTCTTCCCCTATATCAATACATACGGACAACTATGGACATACGTTCGATGGGAACAATGTTGAGATACAGGATGGGGGAGCACAAGGAACACTAGAGAACTTTCAGAAGCTTGGCACTCAGGTCAATCAGCAATCAACAAATGCAGAGACATTGATACTATTTATCAACCAATCAGAAAAATCGTAGGCGAACAAAAGATCACCCAACAGAATAAAGTGGGAAACAATCAAAATAAAAGTGAAGACAACGACAAGTTTAAAGCCAACAACAACCAATCAAGATAGAGGTTAACTGAACAGACTACGGATCAAACGTGAAGAAATTCGAAGACTGCACTTCCATCTGAAGTTTGTGCTGATGATGATGATGTTCAGGAGACTAACAAATGCTCCACAACTAAAACATCCAGCTCAGAGAACGAAACTTCACAACAATTCAATAGTTTTTGCAACAATTCCTTTTATATATTTGATAGAATAGGGAGAAGACGTAATTTCTCCTAAAAATGTGTGACTAGATTAGTCGAAATGTAAAGCACAAATACATTACATTTTTCAGATCAATTACGGCTTCGCAATAGTCTACACCACTAATTTCCAATAATGTAAATGCATCTTCGAATGACTTGCTGTTCAGCAACTCTGTCTCATATCCAACATTGTTCAAAGTGTATTGATCATATAGAATTTAAAAAAAAACTACTATTTTGAAATTGGTTTCGATTTCGTAGAGTTTGGTAACTGTATGATATTATAACACAATAAATATATTTAAAAAGTCAAAAATTTATTCATATGCTATGTAAAAACTATTGCTCTGGTTGTCAGAAGAGGCATCAGCCCCGTGACTTCCGAGGGAACTCGGCTTTCATCACGCGACGTCATAATTCTTCCTCCAACTCCCAGGGCAGAGTTAAAATGGTTTGAATTATTTTTTCTGGTTAGCGTTTTTTTGGCAAGTTAGATTTCGACAAAATGGGGTCGCCAACCCCATGTCCGACCCTCCTCCTTTACCCGGGCTTGGGACCGGCGGTAGCCTCGAAGGTTCTACTATTGCCATTAAATAATTCATCCAACAAGCTTTATATCATTCACCATCATGATAGATTGATTAGAGAAGACAAATTGTACAAATATAACACTTTCATTCTACTATTATGAATTAATTAATCTTGATTGACAATTATTTTAAGTACATACACATTGTACATACTGAGTAAGATTTTGTGCAAATTTAATAGAATTTACTAAAAAAGATTATTGTTGACCACCATGTCCAATAGACAAAACAGTGAAATATGATGAAAGAGGTATATATATATAGAAACAAATCAAAATTGTTTCTTCAAAAACAGAGAAAAACAATAGCTCGAGAGAAACTTCTATGTACAAGTAGTGTTTTTAATAGCAAACAAAACGCTAGACACAATTCATTTATTATGTAAGCTTGCAAAAATGTCACGCCACCATTTTCATTCACAATCATAAAATTTATATCGATAATCATCTTTTAAACATAACAATTTCATAGGCTCATAAACTAAAACAACCCAAAATGAATGAAATGTTGTTTGAACAAGACGAGCAGATAAACCTTTGGCAAACCAACGTATTCCTTCAGATTGCCATAAATGAATAAGACTTTGTTTGAATGGTTTATGCGAAACCTGAGTTGTTATATAAACATGAAAAATAGTAATCACAATAATAATAATAATAATAATAATAATAATATTGAAAACTTTAACATTGATCAAACACATTGGATGAACATTAAATTCTTTTAAATAAAAACGTGTTTATTAACTGTTGTGAGTGTTGTTTTTTTCCAGATAATCAATTTTATTTGAGAGAAAATGAGGACACAATAGACTAACTCTCTTGATTTAATAGGGAAATTTAAAACCAGAATGTAGAAATTCACTGCTTTATTCAAAATGTGTCATCCTATTTTTCAGTTTTTGTTTGAAATTTCTGTGATAAATCGAATCACAGAAAAAAAAATTGGTCATTTTTTTCATTCATTCAGTCAGTCAGTCAGCTACAACGTACAATTTTGTACGTACGTACATACATCATTCTCTACTGATATGCGCATACAGTCTGCCTGATTTTTATGAATATCGAAATTTAAACGATCATTAATGATCATTCCATTCATGTTGGGTCTTTATGTTGAAAAGTTTTGATTATTTTTAAGATAAAAGAGATAGTGAATACAATGAATAAATAATATTCTATCATTCTGACGAAAATCATTCACAAAACTGTGAGTGGGACATAGATTGGAAAGGATTCGATTTTGACTAATTTGGTCTCATGTGCTGTTATGGGTATGAGGACGGTTATCACTTCCCGGCTGCCCACATCGTGGAAGGTTGCTTCTTGAGGAACCTGAAAAGGAAGGTAGATTAGCGTTGGTCTGAACGACCTGGGAGCTTGACCGCAGAGCCTAACGGACAACTGCTTGAGGCCGGTCACGCATGGCTTTTTATGAGAAGCTTTTTGAGTGTTAGCTCCGCTCTTGAAAGCCCTTAGTGGGCACCCTTACTCACCGTGAGGTAGGGTGAGGTGTTACATTTTTAGGGTCGACCTTCTCTAACCCTTCGTTTCTTGTGCGAAGGCAGCATCGCTGCAGATGTTGGTTGTCCGAGGGAAACACCTTACTGCTGTCACATCCCTCTGCAGTCAGCAGTACGACTTCACCATCAGACCTTGAGTAGCTTCTTTTAGTCTCATCGTCCTCCAATCGACCTGCCTGGGATGGTAGAACCTTCAGGAACATGCGTTCCAGCCAATATGGCTCGGTTGAGTCATCACGATAGGCAAGCCCGACCACCACGTCAAGGTAGCAGCTTCGGTCGGGGGACATAGATTGGATGAAAGCATGACTGCGTTTTTGCACGCTGATTGGCTCTTTCGTACCCAATCAGCGCTAGCCGAAACTGAGCGAACATTCTAGAATTTTCTCATGTAAGAAAACTCTAAATATACTTTGTACCATCTGACTTCCATCCAATCCTGTTATTGGAATATAATCTCTATTCCCTGTCCAACTATGTACTGATTTTGCGAGTTCGTCTCAAGTGAATCAGTGTCCGAGAATACTAAGCATTAGGAATAGCTGGATTGTAATAAAGACTTAAAGATACGCGTATACAAAGCAAACTCCTACAACAATAATAATTAAGAATAACCCAACATATTATTTATGAAAAAAATTTGTCTTTTCGATATATTTATAGGATCTATCATAAAAAACTGAGTGATATGAAAGTGAAACACTCATTTCTACACACAGTCTAACCTGTCAAAATACATATATGCAAATCGGACAAGTCAATTTCGAAAAATATGGAAGCATAAATTCAAGGATAACACAGTAATTGCATCAATGACAATAAGTAAAACTAAAACCAAGGTGATAAGTCCGTCACTTAGTATGCTTGAGGCTATTACGAGTTTACCTTAGTCGATAAACGCGAACGAGACCTTAACCAGCGTCCAGGTAGGCTACCTTGAATGCCCAAAGTCGAAATAAAAGACTTGGTAAGCGTAGAAAGTATATTCTACAAACACCCAGCAATCACAGTGCAATCAAGCATACAACTCTCGGTTATTTATACAACATAGAAACGTCCTTAAGAAAATAGCACACTAAAATACACAGCAGCCAATCACAGCCATGGATTTTCCAGGTGGGAATTGAAATCTCAAGGTCATCTGATCATCCCATGCTGGCAAAACGTGAAAACCAAAATACGGCATTATCAAGCGAATTTCGGGGATCTAACATCCCCAACACAAGGCTATCAATATATTAGTTTTAATTTACATAGAAACAACTATATCTTTTAATGCACCGATATTGTCATGAATTTTCGCATGGTTAATGCTGCTTTAATAAAAATCTATATACTCGCTTAATACAAAACTACAAAGCGTGAACTTATGAGTTATGATAGATACTTATCATTTTTATCGAACTTTATTTGTGCATTACGGCTAAACCCTCCTATGTGTTTACACATACATGTATATGTAAACTGATAGACAAAATGGGATATGACTAAATCATTTACACTTTATTTGGGTTTTGGAAAATAATAGTCAGTCAGTCAGTCAGTCAGATGCAACGTAGAACTTTGTACATAAGTACATCAGTTCATGTTGCCATACCACATCAGCACAGAGAAGTAATCGTCAATTCAAATCCAATAATAGTAGAGGTAGTAAAGGTATTAGAAGTAATCGGAGAGGTTAGGATTAGAAGATACTATTCAAGAAGTATGATTCAGTGAGAAAAGTTTAGAAAGTCAAAACTAGAGGTGTTGAAGAATCCAGAAGATTAGGGTTTGAGAGAACACAAAGAATAAATGCACCGGCGCCATTGCGAACGATTTTGAGCCATGTCATTCAAGGTCTCTAACCATCGATTATTATCATCTCGCGGACCCCAACCAGGTAGTCGACAATTACCGACATGGCTCAGTCCACTAGTTGGAAAATAATAGACTGACTATCATTTTAATTATGTAGACTTTACCTGTGTAGCCTCGGATTGATTTTGAAACTATTCGATTCATTTTTGAATATTAGGGTGGTTGTAGATATACCTTTTGATTCTAAAAGCGCAGCGTCTTATTTGATCGAACCATTTCCTTATCAATTGATAAGCATATTTATCAAAAGGTGCTTCTTTTTTCACATGAAACACTAACTACTATTAAACTGTGATCTAGTTGTAATTAGACAACAATTAATATTCCATAACCTTGGCTTGGTTAAGGTCCTTAAATATCCATATATATATATATTGTATAAGGACGAGTAAACTAAACAGTAAATGCCTCATATCTTTATTTAATGTTACAAGGTAAATAACACTGATTTGTTGTGAACACTATGAATAAGGTTACAAAATTTTTATTAACCCATAACAGTAAAACTCTATCAGCTGAATCTAAAAAGCTTAATTTATTCTCCAAGAAGAAGAGGTGATACATTGAGCTGATTAAACATAGACAAAATCATAAGTCAGAAGTGCTAACGGAGAAGCATTATTGATTAAGATTCAGTTCAACTATCTGCGGAAGTAGACAGACGCTATAGGTTGATAATGTAACATGACTTTCTGAATGAAATGCAAGAATATTCATGTATGAATCTTGCGTGTATTTTCGATTCAGTTAGAAAATAAATGTTTCGTGGTCTATATTAGCTGATTGGCAGTGTCCAGTAAGCTTGTATATTAGTTACGAACTCCGACGACTTTATGCAATAACAAAAATTTCAAATTACCTGTCGTGAAATAATAAAAATATATCTGACCTGTAATTTCACACAGCGACTTAATATTTGACCATATCATAAGGAAAACTGGGTAAATATGAAAAGTTCAACCGTATTGGGTGTGAGACACTTAACTAACAAAGACAATGAATAAGATCACGCAATATTGTTAATTGATCGAAGTTATACACTAACACTGCTGAATGCCGGTTCAGTGACCTAAAGGTTGAGCGTTCGAGCGCGAGATCGGAGGTCCCGGGTTCTATTCCCACGTGCATATGTCATGGATAAGAACTGCTAATGATTCCTACACTGGGATGAAATGGCTGTCTAGTGCTTTCAGATTTCTAAAGGTGATGGAACATTGATCGATTTATGACAAGTACAAGAATTACAAAAATACTTCCTTTAATATTTGACGAAATATCAATCCGAAAAAAAGATTTACATCACGTGAAAAGTAGACTGTGGGATGAAAATAAACTCACCTGCATTCGTACACGAACAACATCAATAGGATTAACAATGATAGCAGATGAAATGCCAGCTAGAGGAGCTGAAATCAATTGGATTAATAATCTTGGAAATGGAGCATCGTTTGGTGCTAACAATACCGAGTCTTGAACAGGTTCCTTCCACATTTTCTTTGAAATAAAATAAATTAGACCTATATAGAGGGAAAAATTTAAAAAAAAAAGTATATTCACACAGAAAATATTAATGGAAAAGAAATTGCGTAAGCCCTACATCATTTCAGTAATACTGAGATTTTACAATCAATTTTCGAGTGGAATGACGATAATTTGATTGGTGTTCATCGTTTACTGGTGATAGGATCGGATAGAAGAAGCGGTGTTTGGTTAATTACATTGTGATGATGCAATAAAGGAGAAATCACGCGCATTGACCACTTTTCTGATTATAGAAGTTTGATCAGACCTTAACGATTTCCAGTCAACCGGATTATTATAGTTGAATTATACGGAATATATTTTGCAGGTAATATAGACCAACTAGGTTGGTAAGAGACTACTATCACTGTATCAGTACAGCAGCTACTATCGGTCACAATATATTAGGTATGATAATAATAATAATAATAATAATAATAATAATAATAATAATGACAATAAAAATTTGTAATACAACCTCAAGCAACTTACCACAAAATTTATCATAAAAGGACCACCACAATGCTGAACTAGGCACAAAGGTGCACAGAGATATTAAACAACCTTTATAGAAACCTTTTAACCCGTGAGTTTGTTTGATATAACGAATCACACCACAAAGACGACCCCAATTGGAATTCATTTCATTTTGTGTTAACTGAACTGGGGTCAATGGACGAAAGGAATTTGGATTTAACGATAAATTAGGATTTTTGTCGACCATATTTGCATGAACACGATTACGATTCAAAACCATTAAATGTTGAGAAATAACATCAATAGGAACGAAAAAAGTATTAGCAACACATGAAGCCACTGCACCACCAACAAAAGATCGATGAATAGGACTTAGTGCTGGAAAGACTGTACATGCTTGTCTGGCTACTTCATATGTGGAAACGTAGATAGTACCTGGTTGAGTAAGATTGGGATGAAATTTAAAGACTAGTAACAAAAACTGAAATCCATCACACAATAATTTGAATACTACTACGACTTAGTATCAGAAGGAAAATCACTTTTTATAACCTATCTTTTCTGCTACTACTGATGCTGTTATTACTATTACTCTACAATTCGCCTTAATCTCATCACACTACTATGTTATAGCAAATAGTAATGGTGCACATACGTATCAGGCTATAAGTTATATATGACTGACTGACTGACAGCCAGCCAGATACAACGCAGAACTTCGTACATAAGTATATCAGTTCAGGTTGCCATGCCCCATCAGCACAGAGACGTAACTGTCAGTTCAAATCCAAGAGTGATAGCGATAGTAAAATTATTAGCAGCAATGGAGAAGATTAGGGAGCCAAGATATGACTCGAGAAGTATAATTCAGTGAGATAAATTTAGAAGGCGAAAGATAGAGACTACGAGGAATTCAGAAGGTTAGAATTAAAAAGCACACAAAGAGTGGATGCACCCGCGCCATTGCAAACGATTCTGAGCCATGTTATTCAAGGTCTCTAACCATCCGTGACTTTCGTCTTGCGGACCCCAACCAGATAGCCTACATCTACCAACATCACTCAGTCCACTTGTCAGTGACTTCATGGATTTGTGCCATGTTTTGGTCTGGCCGCCCCTAACTTTCTTCCAGCCTACTCCTACACTACAAAACATAGCTCGTCGAGACAGTCGGTGGTTAGGCATACGTAACACATGTCCCAGCCACCTCAACTAATGAAGTTTCAATATTTCATCTATTGATTTGCCATCCTTAACTAGAACTCGTTTCCTAACGATAGGATTGCTTACTCGGTCTTCCCATTATACACGAGCAACGCTTCGGATACACCTATGATCGAAGACTAGTAACCTACGAATGTCCTCTACTCTTAACGGCCATGTTTCGCATCCGTATAGTAGGACAGAGCGAACTGCTGAGCAGTACACTCGTCCTTTGGTTAACAAGCGGATATCTCGCCTACACCATAAGTGACGCAGGTTGGCTGACTGAAGGAGAACATCTCAAAAAACTAAGATAAATTATAAAAAATTTATAACTAATTCCCAGAGAAAATAATACAGCCATATCGATAAGACAATCAATGATATGAAAACGACGAGTTGAACTTGTTTTAAACCGATCCCAATCAAATTAAACAAATTTTTTACCGTGGAGTCTGTACAGGTAGACGATAATAAAGGGTCCTGAAACCAATATATGTTAAGTCTTAAATCACAGACACCTTTGTTTATTGTGCAGGATAAGTTAATGTATTCAGTTCTAATTAAAGATTTGAGAACTACTATATTATTACAAATCATCAAGTTGGTAATTTTGACAATAGAGCCTTTAATGGTTCATAAATGCAAGCTAGTGATCAGTTCAACTGGCCACGAGCCACTCTTCGGTTACCCACGATCTCCAGTCATCCTGAATGGCAAATCGACCTAAGTCCCCCTAGTCTTAATGACGTTGAGAAAGCGTTAGGAAATCTGAAACGAGGACGAGCTGCAGGTCCTGATAGACTGACCCCTGAGATATTTAAGGATGGTGGTCCAGTTTTATCAGCTAGGTTGACTGAGATCTTAGGTAGAATCTCGGAACTGGACGCAATCCCATCCGACTGGTCTCAATCACTGATTGTCCCAATCTATAAGAAAGGACAAAAGTCTTCTTGTGACAATCACAGGGGAATAAGTCTAACTAATATAGTATCTAAAATATTGGCCTCAATAATACTTCGACGCTTAACGAAAGCTCGTGAAGAGCAGACTCGAGAAAACCAGGCTGGTTTTCGACCTGGACGTGGTTGTATAGACCACGTCTTCATACTCAGACAGGTCCTGGAACATAGACACACATTTAGGCGTCCTACAATAGTTGTTTTCCTGGATCTAAAAGCGGCATTTGACTCAGTGGATCGTGAGGTTCTGTGGCAGTGTTTGTCATTGAAAGGTGTACCAAAGAAGTACACTAACCTCATACAAGCTCTCTACTCAAACACCACTGGTCGAGTGAGAGCTTATGGCGAAATGTCACCGGAATTCTCTACTTCAAGTGGTGTCCGTCAGGGATGTCCACATTCTCCATTCTTGTTTAATTTTATCATAGACATGCTCCTAGAAATAACCTTATCCTCACCTGAATTTTTAGGAGCAGACCTACCAGGTGACTCGCTTATCGACTTAGAATATGCCGATGACATAGTCCTACTTGGTGAAGATGCTGACAAAATGCAGTCTTCTGTCAACCCTAAGCAACAATGCAAGCATGTTCGGGATGCGGTTTTCCCCCTCGAAATGCAAAATGTTGCCTCAAGACTGGGTTGTATCGGCACCTGAACTAGTGATAGGGAGTGAAGTAGTCGAAGTTGTAGACCGCTTCACGTATCTAGGAAGTCTCATCAGTGCTGATGGCCTGGTGACTGACTAAATCTCAGCACGGATACAGAAGGCTCGATTGGCTTTTGCCAACCTGCGTCACTGATGGCGTAGGCGAGATATCCGTTTGCTCACTAAAGGAAGAGTGTACTGTGGAGTAGTTCGCTCCGTCCGACTTTATGGCTGGTCAGTCAGAGTAGAAGATATTCGTAGGTTACTGGTTTTCGATCATAGGTGTATCCGAAGCATTGCTCGTATACCGTGGGACGACCGAGTGAGCAATGCTGTCGTTAGGAAACGAGTACTAGGTAAGGATGGCAGATCAATAGATGAAGTGGTGAAACTTCATCAGTTGAGGTGGTTGGGACATGTCTTGCGTATGCCGAACCACCGACTGCCTCGACGAACTTTGTTTTGTAGTGTAGGAGTAGGTTGGAAGAAAGCTAGGGGCGGCCAAACCGAAACATGGCAGAAGTCCATGAAGTCATTGACTAGTGGACTGAGCCATGTCGGTAATTGTCGACTACCTGGTTGGGGTCCGCGAGATCGG